TATACTAACGGAGACATCGTCGGTATAAACTGAAAAAATTAAAATATACGAGTCTATACTAATGAGTATTAACTATCAGTAAAAAGAATAATGGTGGAATACACAACAGATGCTATACGAATAGATTTACATTTACTGACGGTCTTGAATCGTAAGTATATTTCTGTAAGCTATTTCGATACCTTAAAAATCGATAGTATAGGTCTATATCGATAAAGGGATATACTGACAGTTAAAAATTTATCGAAATACATATTTTGAATATTGGTATAGAGTTTGTGATGCTATACTGACAAACTTAAGAGTTTTATCAATGTTTTTTTTAGTGTCATTATATATCAAATTTCTTGTGGTGTGGTAAAACTTTTGGATGGTCTAAAAGTTTTTCAAATGAAAATGTGATGCCGGTATTTGGATGCTTTTGACTTTAGAATATCTGAGTTGAATTAATACATGGTATTTAAGTGTCTGTAATCCTTGTTTGTAGGCACTTGACTTGATTCGTGGCAAGAATTTTATTATGTTGATGGATTCCACTTTGGAGGGTCATTTTTTCGATGATGATGGAACAGAGTTAGTGCAGTTAGCTTCTCGCCGTTTGCAGTATGAATCTCGTGAGAGGCCAAATGCGAAGTCCCTTGTCATATCTCTCATGTCACTGCAAAGTGAGGCACAGGTACATATAATTGCTGATTGAATTGACTACGGCAAGTTCGTATTCTCTGGCTGTTATTTTGTGCAGCTTGGTATCTTCCCAACTTTTGAACTTTCTACCTAAGACCATTCATTCATTTCAAGGACATTATTGTATTTTGCACTTTGTACAATTCTTCCCCATGTCTTTCATTATTTCAGTTTGTATTTTGCAAAGACCATTAAATTTCTCATATGATGGAGTTTTGCTAGATACCATCATATCTTTTAATGGGTACTCCACAAGGAATCGGTTCTTCAAAGCAGCCATTGCCATTGACACCTTTTGGAGAGGCTTGCTTGAGGATGGATCTGACTGCTATACATGAAATATTGGAGAAAATGCGATACAAAGATGATGAGGGAATTGCTAATGAGGTTCGCTACTCCATCCTTGATGTTCTGTTTTTATGAGGTGCATAAATTTGTTTAAGTATTAACATTTTCCTACCGTTATACATGTTTTTTCACGCTCTTTTATTTTGATTATTTAGAATATGTGAAGTAATAACAAAATAAAAAAAATTAAGATCTAAACACATAAATTAAAAATATATAGAATTAGAAGTTATTAACCCAAAAAAATAGTTGAGAAATAAGTTGCAAAAAATTTAAACGTAACATGAATGGTTAATTTGAATATTATAATAATATTTTTTTAAAAAATAAAATATAATAAAAATATAAAATTATTTTTATTTAAAATTTTTTAATTATTTCCTTTCCTTTCTGTTTACCCCAAATTGAGGTAATAAAAAATTGGAGCTTTCAAGGGAAAGAAAAGGATGCTCATTTTCCTTTCTTTTCCTTTATTAAAATATAAATGATAAACCAAACAAATGCTAAAACTTTTTATTTTCTTTGCTTTCCTTTCCTTTCCCTCACTTTTTTTTGATTCAAACATAGTGTTAAAGAAACTTGTCACGTGGTTATTACTCTCTCCTCTCAAAATCGGCTTATCAAGATATGCAGTGTCAATATTTTTATACCCCAATGACCTCTCTTTCGTGTCCGATGTGAAATTAGAGTACCTTACCTACTCTCCATTGGAATACTTGGCATGACATTCTCCCTTACTCAATCTCGTGACACTCTCATCACGGAAGCTTGTCACCCTGTCTATCCATCTCGAGACGTTTGGTGTGGGTCGAACGGCCCAAGGTTTACTATGATACCACTTGTCACGTGATCATTACTTTCTCCCTTCAAAATCGATTTATCAAGATGTACAATGCTAACGTTTTTATATCCTAGTGAGGGGCCAAAAATTTTAAATTTTTTCATACATATGTTATTTTCATAATAATTTTAAAATTTTTTTATAAAAAAATTAGTTTGGCCTCTCAATTTTAAATTTATTGTATTAATATATATTATTTTTTATTTTATGTATTTATATTGGATGTATAGTTACAAAAATTAGTTGTATCAAAATATTACAACTCTTAATTTTTAAAAAAAATTATAAATTTTTAACTTGTAATTATAAATAATTTTTAATTTAAAACAAATAATAAATTTGTCAACACTATTTTTTCACAAACATGTAAATTTAAGTTTAATATATATGTAAGTATTATAATAATTAAAACCGATTTAACAAATATCCAATTGTGATTTTTTTTCAATCAATTTTTTTACTATATTGTTACATGTCAAAATAATTAATATAATTAGTTTAACTACATTTTTATTTTTTATAATGTAAAAATACCGTGTAAAAAATTAGAGGGTTTTAATTTATGTATCAAAATCTTTATTTTATTATTTTAAAATTTAATTTATTTAAAAAAATATTTTTGTGATTTTTTTACTTTAATACTTTAAATATTAAATATGATAAAGTAATATGTTAATATTGTAAAAAAATATACAATTTTATTTTTATAAAGAATATTGTTAATGATTTATAATTATAAATCGTGAGATCAATTATTTAATATAGTCATTTTATTATATATAATATATATTTATATATTTAAATAATTATAAGTGTAAGTTTTGTTAGTGTATGTTTACATCTTTTTTATTATTAATAAATTTGATGTTTTTTGAAAAAAAATTATCGCAAAATATTACTTTGACGCTTTCAAAATTAAAGATAAAGATCCGTAACGGATGAGGTGTGAAATATGTTGTTCTGTACGTCATTTTCAGTGTAACCAATGATTAGTGGCAAGCAAAGTTCTGTTTTTATCTTAAAATTTAACTAATGGCAGGAGGAAGCTTAATTCTGACTTTCTTTATCTTGATCTGGTTTAGGAAGGAATACCTGTCCTCAACCTGCCACAAAATCATATTGGGTTAGGAATTGGAGGAGAAAATAACAGATGTAAGAACTGCTATTGTCCTTGAGTCATAACCAATTTACTGCAAAATGTTCCTCCGTAGAGATTCAATTCTGTACCCAATTATTTGGTGAAATCCATATTTTGTGGCTTAAGAAGCAAAGGATCATTTCCTTTGATTATTTTGCAGCCTACTTTTATTATTACCTAGTCAATGATACTCCAGCAATCATGCAATTTCTATCTAATGGATTTTGCTTTTTATCGCCTTTCAGCTTTCTTTTCAAATGTGAACTCTAAGAATCACGGAGATACTGCTTTTCGAGCCAAGGATTTTGCAATTGCAATTGATTGCTACACACGGTGAGCTTCCCATGTGCAAATCTATACAACTTGCAATATAAGCGTATAACATACTGAGTTCAAGACTGTCTATTTGACTGCTTATTGAACATACCATGTTGCAAAAGCGGGGAAAGAAGAAAATATGGTTTGATAATTATAGTTTGTATGCATATTAAGAAAGAAATGATGAAGGCTACATGTCTGTTCTTGGAAAACAATAGGGGTTATGGTGCGGGTGAAGGACTTGGCTAGTGTTTTCCAAAACAAAGAAAGTTTTTCCCCATTTTGTTTGGTTTGCTACATGTGCAAACCCCCTAATTTTCTTCTGAACAATTATTGCTGGTAGGCATTGAACTCAACTCATTAATGTAGAACCATTTTCAAGTTGGTCACTTTTGCATTAATAAGTCATACAGGAAAGATTTTTGATGGTTTAAAACAGCATGATGTATGGACTCAAGATCTTGTCTGTCTTACGTAGTTCATTGATGGCGGGACCACGGTGTCACCAACCGTGTATGCCAGACGCTGCTTGTCATATTTGATGAATCATAGGCTAGAAGAGGCCCTTGGGGATGCTATGCAAGCGCAGGCGCACTGCTTTGTATCTGCATGCGGCTTGCCTGTTTAGCCTAGGAATGGTAAGTGACGCCCAAGAAACACTCAAAGATGGCAACAACTTGGAAGCCGAAAGGAGCAAAAACTGAAGTTGTATAGGTTTTCAAATTTTGTTTGTTTGTTTTTTTTTCCCTGCCATAGTTTTCTTTAGGCTCTTGTATTATTCCTTATTTTTCCGCCTTTCTATCATTCTAGGTTTTGGCTGCATTGCATAATTCTTCTATATTTATTGTTGGTTTTGATATTTCACGTTTGTTCAATCTCCTACTGACGTCTGTTTGAGACTTTGAGCTATATCATAGAGAAGAATGTCTAATTGAAACGCTTAGAAACTCTGGTTTCTACGACCCTCGAAATCAGTTACGTAACCTACCCTAGAAATCAGTTACGTAACCTGGGTCTTTGAACCTGAAGATTGCCATGTAACTTTCATTGGGCAACTATTAATATAGCAGTATTAATTTGAGTGCCAGCAGTCACAAACGGAAGGAACTAGGGATTGGCCAAACCATTTACCAATCACGAGTTCATGACCTTCCGACTCCTCTTGAATTGGCCAGTCAAAATTTTGTTTTGGCATTTCTTTGCAATTTTGATTCATTCCTTTTACCTCCAGAGGACAATTTTTGTCGGGACGTAATAGTAGGTAGATAGGAAAAAAATGAGATGGGGAAAGGTTTTAAGAGGAGCAGCCAAACCGGTACTACTAGCTATGACTATGAGCCTTATAAAACCAGGTAATGCTCCAGCACGTCAAGATTGTTAGGTTTAGTTCTATTAGACAACAACTTCAACAATTTTTAATGGCACTTTCAATGCCTAAGAACCTTCTGCAAAGTGAAACAAAACCCACCACAACAGTGAAGAAGTGCTATCTGACTCATCATATAGAAAGGAAAATTTTGTTAAATTTTGAAATAAATCCTTGACGAGGTATTTCCTTGAAATCACAACCCAAGGAGAAAAGAAAACCCCCCAAATAACCCTTTACAAGGTATTTTCTTGACATCATAAACGAAGGATAAAAGAAAATTCACAACGACAAAAGGCGTCTCTTGCAACAACAATAAAGCAACAATATCGATTTATACAGAAGTCTTCTAAAACGAGATAGAGTGATTGCTTACGTACTAATGCAAGACATGGATTTGATAATTATGATGAAAGTGCATATATTAGATATAACAAATTTTCTACATGTATGGAGAAGAAGGGGTGTATAAAATACCTATTAACCATCACAAGACTTTCTAGACTATCCCATTGCTTCTTTATTTTTCATTCTTTCAATTTTGTTCAAGAACTGTGCTACAGAATTTTAGGATGATGGCACATTGAAGTGAAAGAGCCATGATATGACAAATGCAAATACCATGCAAGCAAGGAGAAAATTGAGGAAGCGATGGCCATGCCAGAAGCTTCGAGAGTCTGTATTGGGTGCTGGTCCTGAGACTGCAGCTGTTGCCGTGGAACTGTTGGTCTCATTTGATTGCTCTGTTGACTCAACTTCATTCACTCCAACTACATTGCATGCAATAGAATGACAAATCTCACAGTTCCTAAAAAACAATTAAGCAGTCTGAGTATAGGTAGAGGTATGATAAATCACAAAATTGAGGAAGCTCAGTATGAGGAGGAGCTAATATACTTTTGGAGGCAAGGATAATGGTTGTGAGTAATGGAACATGCAGCATTATAGATATAATGATGCAATATACAATCATTACACCCTGCATTTCAGTCGAAAGTTAAAACTATCACTTACGTAATCTCAAAGATTTACACATGAACAAAAGGATCAATTTATCGCGTAAACTATCATAGCTGGCATAGTTTCAAAAATTGCACATTAGGTATTTTAATTATGAATCATGCATGCCTATCTGCAATGATAACAATTTTATGCATATTTTCAACAATTGCACATTAACTCAGATATCATAGCTGGCATTCTTCACCAATTTCAAATGTTAGTTTCTCTTTGCATAGAACTTTTAACATGAAAGGTATGAGATGAATGCCTTGTAAAATTTTAGCCATAACTAGTAAATTTAATTAATGTGGCCTTCCATTTGGCTTTCAAGTCAGAAATAAGTTAGAAGATCAGTATGATGGTGTTGTATATGGAGTAAGATCATATAAATTGTTAGACAGTTTTCAAATCCTATCTGATAAATTATCCAGGTCAATGACGGGGCCAATCAACCACTTAACTGGAATGTTAGATGATACAATAGCTTGCAAACACCACTAGGTCCACTGTGGTTGTGGTAGTTATGGTATCAGTAATTGTTTCACCAAAACATGACACCAATCTAGGTATGCATGAAGTGCAGAAAATGCCAAAGCAAAATCTACCAAAAGTTCAGAATCACATCTAGAATCAGGGAACTTCTAGCACCGATGGTTTGGTATCTAAAATATCAGTAATTCCTAATCATCTCAAGTAAGAAATCTAGAATTAGCAACTGCAAATTAGAAAATTCCAAAGTGGCGCACCAGAAAGCAACGATCTTCAAGCAAAGATTATAGAACGCATCAATAAAGGTCAAATCCCCACTTTCCTACAAGGAAAGAGAACCAGAAGGAAAAAGATAGAGAGATTCCTAAACCTGAAAAAAGCACATAATAGCAAAGAATTGTCGGTGTGGTTAGACATATCATGAGGAGTTCTTAATGCTTTAGCCTTTGGCTTTATTTCAATTCCTATCATCCTCCTTTATAAATGTAATATCCATTCCACTTTCTTTTCCATTAAGAAAATTTCTCTTTTTCGTTTGCATCTTTTCACCTTATAGGATTACAAAACTAAAACCTAAAACGGTCAACTTTTTTAACTTTTTGTTCGCTTTAGTGGGTAGTTATTGCAATCACTCCCTCAAGCATACATACACAAATGGTAAATTGTAAAACACTATGAAGAAAGAGTAAACCCAAGTCTAGGAAATCATCAAAAGAACAATACATACAAATCACAATTATGATCCACGAAATGATAGTTTTCACTAAAAAGTTAATAATGTTAAGAACTTACCAAGTGGACATCTAGAATTTTACCTAGGAGCCAAAAGTAAACATAAAATTGAACAATTAAAAAAAGGGATAGAATTCTTTTACTTACTTATTTCCTCTGATCTTAAACCATGCCTCAGCACACTGTTTATGAGCAGTAGCAAGATCACCCTTACAAGAACAACCCAACACAATAGGAACACCAGATTCATGACTGTTACTTTCCAAACCCAAATGACAAATTCTACAATCTTTCTCAACTTTGGCCAAATGCACCTTAATTTCAGGAACTCCCCTCTCAATCTCCACCTCCACTGAACAATCCGAGGGTGAAGACACCCTCCTGGAATCCAACACGTCACCAATCTCTCCATCAGAAGCGCAAGCAAAGCTGAACTCATCGTAAGAACCACCTGTAGTAGAATAAAACTGAGAGTAGCAAGAACCCTCGTCGGCGTCCGAGAAGCAAATGCTAGCCTCGCCGACGCTAACGTCACTCACGTTCCGGCGGTGAGTTCCTTGCTCTAAATCGATATGAGACATCTCTAATGATGACATTTTGAAAGACCCAGAAGCTAAAACTTGGAGTTAAGGCTCTGTAAAGAGCGTTAACAGGCTCAAAGTTTCAAGCTTTGAGGATCAATACTCAATAGACTCAAAGTTTCAAGCTTTGCAGTCGGTTTTAAGAAGTCACTATTGGATTAGGTGACCCTTTGCCTCCATTAACGTTTCACTAACAAAGAAAACTTATAAAACGGAAAAAATTGGAACACCCCAAAACACCAAAAAGTGAAAACACGGCAAGATTTAGAGATCAGCCATGGCTTGGTACTTAAGAAAAATGCATAGAGAAAAAAAAGAGAGAAGTTTAAAGAGACGAAGAGGGGTTCAAAGACAAAGGACCCATGCTCTGTGTCGAGACTCAGACACGCACTGCACAGAAGAACAGAAACGTGCAGTGAGTGCACAGGGAACCGAGACGAGATTTCTTTTCTTTTCTTTTACATTATTAGGCAACCAAAAAAAAATACAAAGAAAATGACGGAAAGACAGGGAAACAAAGTTGTTGGAAGATTTGGTAGTGGTACATTGGGATCTTTGTCTTAAACAGATTCTGTACGTTTGATGGTATCAGTTTAGTGATGTGTGAATCTTTAAGATAATCGGACGGTCGAGACAGTAATCAGTGCGCTAAGCGCCCGTTTTGTTGTAGAAATCCGCAAGAGATTATTCAATGCCACGCAACGCCAGCTTCTTAAGTTATTGTCGTGTCTTAATTAATCAGTCTCATCAATAATCATAAGTTATTAGTTACTCATCAGTTCTATATATATATTTACTTTCTAATATTAGTTGGGTTTTAAGCCCATTAAATCTCAATTAATGTGAATTTGAGTAACTTCAATTACTCGAGGTGAATTGGATTTAAGTATGCAATCGGGTGATTTTAAGACCGATAAAGCATTGAATCTTGATTTTGATTTTTTAAATTATAAAGGATTAAAAGAATTTTTATTTTTAGATCCTGTCTGTAAATTTTCATTTCTCTTCTATTGGAATAAAAATTTAAATTTTTATTAGATTGAATTAAACATTACTACCTGAATTTGATATGATAAAGAGATGGTAGATAAATACATACAATTAAAGTATTCGTTAATCCTTATAAGTAAACTTTGGTGTTAAGAAATTAAGTGACTTGATTATCCAATTGAAACAAGTTGTACGTATGGATGGGACTTAGCTTTGATCAGTGATCACATCAGGCGAGGGAAACGGTGAGGACGAAGAAGTGATGTGTCGAGGGGTAGATTAGGGTTCTGTGCATGGAGACCAATAAACAAGCGAAACATCCGATTAAAGTTAGAAGCATCTGAGTGTGTGAAGTGGTTTGACCGGAGGTGGACCACCTGAAGATGGATGTTATCTGCCTTTGCATGAACAACACGAAAGCAAGCTCCTATATGAAATTCAGGATGTTCATTTAGTTGTTTGTTTATATAAACGAAATTGAGACAAATAAAGAACAAGAAATCCAGAGAGAAAAATGAGAAAGAAAATTCCAAATGAAAAAAATGCTGCTCTAAGGCTAACTTCTCAATTTAACGACAATAAGAAAATTATTATGATAAAGATAGGACTAAAGAGTGGCCGTTCACCTATATTCAGATGCTTGCGTTTGTCCTTAATGTTTTTCTTCATTTCTTTTTAATTGTATTTCTGCAAATATACAACAAAATAATATAGAAATAATATAATTATCTCAAGATTTCGACTTTTTTTACAAAATATAATATAATTATTATTCATTTTTTATGAACTACATTACGTTATATTTCATTTATGGTATAAATATAAAAAAATTTTAAATTAAAATTAAATATTCATAAAAATTTTTATTATTTTATTACAATTAATTGAATTTTAAATATATATTTTTGTCTAATTAAATTTTTTATTAGATGAAAATTAGTGACGATCATTAATCAATTAAAGGTTGAATGAGAATAGAGACTTGAAAATCCAATTAGCTGTAATAAATTAAAAAAAAATTAATGATTATTTAATTTTTATTAAGATAATTTTTTTATATTTAAGCTTTCATTTATTTACAAATTATATAATTGTGAGGAATGTGAAATTGCTTTGAGGACACGACTTGTAATCTGGAATTGAGCTTTCTTTGAGAGCAAAACGATTTGAGAATCCGTTGAAAATGGACCACTGACTGCTTTGGCTTGTTTATTTGCCTTTGCCATTCAAGGCAAATTGCTGAGTACCACATTGCTTTTATTTTCTTTCCTTTTATCTTTTGGGATCATAATTAATACTTTGAATTGATAATCATAAGCCTTCGACTATTCTACCAAATGGTGAAAGTTACAAGCAATAAAGTAGTTGAAGTGAAGGCTAAAGCTAGCTTCAACAATCCATGTCTGTATTTGGCGTTTGGAATATGTTGGGGAACTCCGATCTCCATTATTATATATATATATATATATATATATATAAGCTAAGGAGAAATCCCGACTCCATATTTTGGGAAACCAGCAAATAACGACCCCCCCCCCCCCCCAAAAAAAAAAAAAGTAAAACCGTTTTGGATCGCTTTCAAGCGTCAAAGGTGTAATCATCAACCATCCCACTTCTGCAATTCCCATTTCCCATCAAGAACAAGTGAAGTGTGAATGTGGCTGCGGGGCTGGTAAGCCCCGTTTTGTTGAATCTGCCATCTTTGTTTTCCCTAATATTCCCTTTTATCTTTTTCATTTTTCAAGAATAGCTTTTTTTAGCTGTTAAAAGAAAACATGCATCTAACTTGAACATCAATTACCAATAGACCAAGAATCCTTACTCGTCTTTAAAAGCACAAAACGATCAATCAAGGTATTGTCAAGATTTTTGTTGTCTGATTCTTTTTTTTTTTTCTTTTGCCGGTATTTTTAAAGATATGTATTTAAAATTTTATTTTCCAAATATTTCTAACAAAATTATCAAATTTTAATCCACTGAAAACACTCACTCTTAAAATCAGTAATATTTATTATACCAAAGTTGTACCTCAATCATCTTGAAAAGTTGAGAGCATATCTTAAGTGTGTCTGACTGTATGAATACTTTTTGATTTTGGTGTATCCATGGCATCCAAAGAAAAGGATGATTATCATTTATCACGCTTTGATTGCATCTCTAATCTCTTTTTTAAAGGTCCCTTGGTGTTTAGGTTAAAACTCAAAAGAGTGCATAATCCATCAAGTCTATGGGGGCTACTTGCGTTTGTTTACCGAATATGATTCCACCTTTTCTAGTGAAATTTCCAGGGTTAGGTTACGTTTTTAATAGGGGTGCTCATTCAGTCATTTCTATTAATTTTAAATTAAATTATCTAAAATTAAATTAATTGAATTATGTTATTTTATTTTTTTAATTGAATCAAATTTCTTTGTTTTGAAAATTAATAAATCAGAATTAATTTGATCAATTTGATTTATTTTTTTATTAATTAAATAATAAAATATATTAAATTAAATTAAATTTTAAATTTTAAATTTTTTATATTTAAAATAAATTAAATAAAATCATTCAATAAAAATATTAAAATATCATAATATTAAATTAAAAACTTTAGTAACTTGAAATGAAATAGACAATTTCATATATTTTTAATTATATATAAAATTTTTATTGTATTTGAGTTAAAATTTTGGTTAATTCAATTAATTTGATTTTTGAATCGAATTACCATAAAAAAAAAAGAAATTTCTTTAAAATTATTTTTGATAATTGACTAAAATTAATTTAATGATCAATCGATTAATTGAATTAAATCGATTCGATCGATTAATTTGATTAAACTGAATTTTGAACACTCTAAGACTTTAACATAAACAAATTTGCAATTCATCCCGGTTAAACACAAGCCAACACAAAATGCACAAAAAAGAAAAAGAAAAAAAAAATCCATTCCGTGCATAAAGTTGAATCTTTCAATTCATAAACCAACAGACTTGGGACAAAAATGGACTGATGGTACCGAGAGTTGGGTACCACATGCTGATATTTCATATTTGGTTTCGATCAGAAAGCAGCTTTGCAAATAAAATACCACATGTTTATCTCTTTCAAGCAGCCCCTAGTATGTGTCTCTTTCGGGATTTGAAACCAGGAAAGATTAAAAGCAGTTTTTTTTTTTTTTCTTTTCCTTTCTTTCTAGAACCTGGGGAGTGAAGGGTTTTGAATCATTGAAACCTGAAAGGGATACCTCAACATGTTTCTGTCACTAGCCATCGGCACTCATTCTTTGTGAACTAGATGTCTTCCGCTTTCTATCGGCACCATCCCCAGGTTTAAGCCTTTCACTCTGATTTGCTTGCAAAAGAAAGAAAGATAATTAGCTCTGATTACCTGCTTGAATCTAATAGAAATAAACATCAAGGCAGTTGCCATTATACTCTTTGGCATCAATGTCATTCAAGCACTAAACACAACCAATTCACGTAGATACCGCCTTCTTATTTCCTTGTTCTCTTTAAACTTTCCGCAGTCATCTAAATACATTATAACCAAAGGATTCTAGTTCAGTATGATTTACAAATAGAAGAGAAAGCTTTTTCCCCACTAGAGACTTCATTCTAGGATAGGCCAACTTGCTAGTCGGCCAATGAGTCCTTTGGGCTCGCTTAAGTACTATCACAAGCAGAAATTTAAATAATCGTCACGGTCACGTTTTCAGTCGCGTCACGTTTATCGCATTTTTGGATATAATGGAGATCATTGCGGTCATCACGATCGTGAATTTTTTTTGGGTACAATTTATTATAAAATATAATAATAATTATTATAAAAACTCTTATTTAATGATTTTAAAAACAATTTATGACACTCGATGTTTTTTATTTTTTAAAAAAATTATTCATAATTTTATTTAGATTATAATAAAACATTCATATTTGATTTATCCACAAAATTTTTCTTGGCCAAGTTCATATTCAATATTAATTCTAGACAAATCAAATATTAACAAAACATAGTATGTTAAATACCAAGCATCTATATTTAATAAAATTATAAACTTAAAAATATAATAATTTCAAATTCCATCAACTGTAATTATTGATATATATTTCAAATTTTATCACATAGTAGATTGACGAGAAGTATCAAATTTTTTATCTTCACTTTGAGAGTCAAGTTGACTTTATCCCCATCCATGTGGCATTTGTTCTATATTACATTTAAGGTGGAGGATATACTTTAGGATGATACATTTGTGGTAGGGGATACATTTTTGGTAAATGATACATTTGAGGAGGTGGAGGATATATTTGAGGTGGATGATACATTTGAAGTGGATAATAACCATATAGAGGTGGATAACCATGAGAAGGTTGAAAATTAGGCTGTTCCAGTGGATAGTAATTTTCTTGAGTACTAGTAGATGATTCACTATACTCAAAGTTACTAGAATTTGGTCTCTCATCTGAAGATGAAAAATCTCTAGAAATA